GCGGTAGAATGTTCTCACAGCCCCAGAGAGCCTCAGAGGACAACGGCTTTCACAGAACCTCAACAGAAATCGGGATCTGTATAAATACCATTACCAGGAGGGCCGCGGAAACCACATGCCCCAGCATCCCAGCCCAGCTGGGAAATGAAGAAAAGAGCTCCCTTTCTCTTCCAGCTGACCAACACCAAGGATCCACATTACTTGCACAGTTTTCATCTTTCACCCAGATCTTCAATGTTACACAATTTATCACACTTGTTCTCATATTCTGCTTCGTGATTGGTCCAGGGACCTGCAGTCTTCTTAGCATCTAATCCCTCCTCATCTTCCCCTCACATTTACTTCATCATCCCAAACTGATCATTGTGTCCCTTTTATTTTTCAGCATGACTTCCCTTCCCTGACTCTTGTATTGCCCATAATTATACAACCTGTGTCACTCTAATACAACCATGAAATAATGAGGTTAATTTTGCCATTTCCTTCCCGTGGGGCATCCCTTTGGGTGGGCTACTGAAACATCCTTCAGTTGGACATCTTTGGCATCCATCTTGCTTCTTGCTGATCCTTACAGTCCCATCCTTCTGAAACTAATTGGAGACTAATTGCCCTACTATGTCCTATAGTTAATTCTCAAACTTCTTAACATAACACCTAGCACTCCTTTAAACCGAATCACAATGCTTTTATTATTGTTACCTATTACCACTTGCTCCTGTAGTTACATACCAGAATTTCATGCTCTGTACCTGTCTGAGCTTGTTTTCTGTTGCTAGAAGAGAATGCCCAAGAGACAGTAATTTATAGAACAAGAGGGTGATTTATCATGATATTCATGGCGGGGATGTTGGGGAACGTAGCATCTGGCTCAAGCTCAGGCCCTGGTGAGGTCCTTCCTGCTGAGTCATGGTACAGCAAAAGGTCTCCCATGAAACAGGGCAAGAGTGCCACCTTTTCTGGTGGGTTAACTAAAATGTCCCCATAGTCTCAGGCATTTGAATGCCTGGTTCCAAGTTGGTAGCACTGTTCAGGGAGACTCAGAAGGTGTGCCATTGCTACAGAAAGTCTGTCACTGGGGGTGGGCTTTGAGGATTTCAAGACATGCCATTTCTAGTTTGATCTCTCTGTTTCATGCTTACAGTTCAAGATGTGACTTGAGCTCTCAGCTGCCTCCTCAGCTGTCACGCCTGCCATTACTGCCTCTGCTCCATCATTATGGACTGTAACCTTCTAGAACCATAAGCCCAAATATGTCTTCCTTCCATAAGTTGTTTTGGTCATGGTGTTTTAATACAGCAATGGAAACATACCTTCCTTCCATAAGTTGTCTATCTTTTTTTTTAAGATTTATTTATTTATTATGTATACAGTGTTCTGCCTGCATGTATGCCTGTGGGCCAGAAGAGGGCACCAGATCTCATTACAGATGGTTGTGAGCCACCAAGTGGTTGCTGGGAATTGAACTCAGGACATCTGGAAGAACAACCAGTGCTCTTAACTGCTGAGCCATCATACTCCAGCCCCATAAGTTATCTGTCTTGGTCATGATGTTTTATCACAATAGTAGAAAAGTAACTAATACCTTTCATAACAAAGATGTTTCTCAAAAAACGATCTATTTAATTGATGAATAGGTTAATCCATTTATGAAGGAAGAGCCTTCACCATGCAGTCATCCTTCCTAGAAGGTCACACCTCTAATCACCATCTGGAGATTAAGTTTAAAATGCATGAAACTTAGGGGACACACAGAAGCCACAGTAATAATTTTTTACACATTGCTCTTTTTTCAACTCTCTTTTCAAGCGCAACACAAACATCACCTCCTACTTAATTTCCTTTAGGATCTGCCTATAGCTTCCAAATTCAGAAGCCATTATGTGACTATAGAAACTTTCAGGCTCTATATTCTTTTTGATGTTCAACTATTACCTTTAAGTGGCATTTTTGACTTTTAAAAATGGACCTCAGTAGCAAAGGTCACACTCTTTTTTAAAAAAATGCATTTATTGAAGAAAATGTTGATCAGATTAGCAGATGACACATTGGAATCAAGTTATTCTATTGGGAGGGAGGTGCTTATTACTATCCAGTAATTACTATGCTGAAAAACAGAGGAAAGCATGTGAAGACAGAGGTTCATTCAACATGAGACTTTTTTTCAATTCAAACTGGGCTAATTCACTTCCTCATTAGAAAGTGAAAGACATGGGTGCCCTGAAAAGATTAATGAATCAGCCCGATTATGCCATGGGCTTCTAACTCTATGGGAATAGTGTTCCTTGCTCTTGAACTTGAAGAAGCACGAGCCCATGGGGAGACAGGTTCCAACACTATCCAGTTTTTCTGTTTCTTTCATTGGTACTTATGAGTGGTGGAGACTTGGGTGGCACTGTCATTCACTGCTGAGCATAGCATGGCCAAGTTTGTTTGGAAAATGCCTACTTGACTCTAGTGAAATTCCAACAAGTCACAATATTCAAAAATTCTAAGAGAAGGAGCAAAGTCCTTCAACTCTTAAAATCAGAGAGAGGACATCCCAGATATTTAAACACTATTAACCATACATGGTACCTAAAATAACATATGGATGTTTATTCTCCCTATAGTTGTATTTACATCAAGCTTTTAAAATTCAGTTTTTATTATTCTAATTCTTATTTGGAACATATGCCATGGCTCATAAAATATTTATTCTAAGAACACAGAGTACTCTTTGTGGATGAATAAATATTGAGATAAGAATCCACTTATTCTAAGTAGCCCTCACCAGAAAGTTAGTTTCATTGGTTACTGCTTTTTATTGCTATGCTTCAGCATCTCTAAGGGAAGGAAACTGTCTAGATACGTAATCCTGATGGGTGCTTTAGGACACATGGAGTTCTGGGGGTTTTGAAGTCAATTGCCACAGCCAAAAGGATATGGTCAATATATGACATATGGTAATTACCTTGTATTGAGGTCACATTTCTCGTTATAGCATTATTGCTTAGTGGCATGTCCCTTAGCTGATGGACAGTTTACAGAATATGACAGAATACCCCAGGAAAGGTTATTTTCTAGGTGCTTTAAATAAATGGCAGAAAAGTTCATCTTGGGCTGAATTCTTTGGGAGTCTTCTTCTTAGTGATGACATCTTTGAGATATTTATAGGAAAATAATAATTTTGATGCTTTTTATTATTATTAACAACTATATTGATGTTTGACTTTCATGATGATGACTGGGGCTTACTTTTCTTTCCTGGAACGGACAGGACTTAGTGTCTCATATCTAATATGCAAAGGGGACAAACTATAGAGTACCAGCACTTACTGAAAACCCTGGCAAGTACCAGTTTAACCTGGTGATTAATGTCACTATCTTGATAATGCCATCCTGATAGACTGTTCATCCTGCATATGACATTACTGATGCACACCAAACCCTATACTCTTTATAATTATTCTATAAATCCAAAGTTATTTCAAACTTAAAGGTTTAAATTAGTCTTCGTAGGTAATTTGGATTATTCTTCCATCTGCTGTTAGTTCAAGAAAATGAATGAAAGAAAATTATTGATGTAGATTGGAAGGTAGTACTTGTAACAGATCTGATAATAACCTGCTATCCAAAATATACAAAGAACTCTTAAAGTAAACACTGGGGATAATTAATCTGATTTCACAATAGGCAAAACAAACCCACACAGACATTTAAGCAATGAACATATTAAAACATGTATGACAACGAAACATGTGAAAAGATGCTCAGGTGCAAATTAAAGCAGCTAAGGAACTTCACCAGGTACCTAATCAAATGGCCCAGATTCACAACAAAGACCAGCAGGGACATAGTATGCTCTTTCATTGCTGGTAGGAGCATATAATGGTCCAGTCACTCCTGGGGACATTTTAAAGTTTCTTATAAAATTAAACACATCCATACCATGTGATCCAATAATCACACCTCTTCATTTCTACCTAAATGAGCTAGATATTTAAGCCTACCTAAAAACACACATGCACATTTTGACTGTTTTATTCATAATTGATAAAATCTGAAAAGGTCCAACATATCCTCTACAGATGAAAGGAAAACTCAACTGTGGTACACAAGACAACAGAATATTACATAACACTAAAAAAAAAAAAAATGAGTTACCAAACCACAAGAAAACATGGGAAACCTGAAATGAATATTACGAAATGAAAGAAGTCAATCTGAAAGTGTTACATATTATATGATTACAACTCTGTAACGTTTTGAAACAAAACACACAGCTATTTTTTTAAATGGTTGCCAGAGAATAAGGGAGAAGAAGGGATGAATAGGCAGAACATGAAGGATTTGGGAGACAGTGAACGTGACCACTATGATACTACAGTGGTGGCTATGTATCATATGCTTGCCCACAAGTAAAGCCTAGTGTGAACTATAAACCTTAGGTGCCAGTTTGGCGCTGTAGATTCCTCAATTATAAAATGACTTACTCTGGAGTAAGTAGAAAGTGGGAGAGGCTCTGTGTATGGGGGACAGGAGGTATAAGGTAACTTCACATTATTTCACCTAAATTTTGTCATAAATCAAGAACTTCCCTTTAACAAATTCAGTACAATTAAGAAAAACATTAAAGTGCTCACCAGGTACCTCTAAATCATGTGCTTATTCCCAAGTTCCATAGTGATTTCAACGTGGCATACCCTACACTGAAATTCTTCCTAGGATGCCTCTACCACCTTTAAATTTGTGATCTGTGCTAATGGCCAAACATCAATTCTCCCTCCTTTACATCTGAGGCTTTCCAGCGCAATATCTGATTGGATTTGATTGTAGCTGGAGTTTTCTCCAGTCCTACCCAGCCCCACGGACCCCACAACCGCTTATAAAATAATCACTCAGAAGCTCATATTAATTAAACTGCTCGGCCATTAGCTCAGGCCTACCACTGTCTAGCTCTTACACCTAAACTCAGCCCATTTCTGTTAATCTATATGTCGCCACATGTTCCGTAGCTTTACCTGCTGCCTTTACATGCTGCTCCCTGGACGGCAACTGGTGTCTCTCCCTCTCAGTCTTCCACTGCCCATACTTCTCCTCTCTCTTTGTCCCGCCAAGTCCCGGCAGTCCCGAAGCCCACTTATAAAATAAACACACAGACGCTTACATTATTTAAACTGTTTGGCCTAATGGCTCAGGCATCTTGCTATCTATTTTCTATATCTCAAATGAACCCATATCTATTAGTCTATAAGTTGCCACGTAGCTCGTGGCTCACCGGTACCTTACAGCTCGCTTGTCATGGCAGTGGCTGGATGCGTCTCTCTGCCTCAGCCTTCCACTTCCCAGACTTCTCTCTCTTTGTCCTGCCTATACTTTCTGCCTGGCTACTAGCCAATCAGCATTGTATTTATCAATCAGTCATCCACAGCATTTGATTTTGTTTATTTCCCTCAAGTCAGCCTGCTCATTTGGGTTTCCTGGCACTGTGGGACAAGGATTCCTCATTCTACCCCTGTTACCTTCTAACTTCCCTCCATCTCCCACACTTCAGTCCGTGGAACTTCATAGTGGTTCTTGCAAATGCTACATCTGTGTTCATCTGGTACTTTTATATCTACTGGGTCTGGTAGTCCTAACGGTTTTCCTTCCTTCTACAGACACAGCTCTCTCTACCCTTCAATACACAGCACAGTTCTCTCCTCTTCTGAGGAACAGCCCTTTACACCTTGCAAGGCTGAGATGTCTTTTGGGAGGTGCACAGAGAATTTTTCGAGATGTTACAAGGACACCAAGTTGAAATCGTTATAATAAAACATGTGTCTAATCTAGAACATCATGAACTTCCTTTTTAAAAATTATTTAATTTCTTTTATGTGTATTTGTGTGCATGTATATCTGTGCACCACATATACAGTGCCCATGGAGGCCAGAAGAGGATATTGAATTGCCAGGAACTGGAGTTACAGATGGTTGTTAGCCACCGTGTACGTGCTGAGAATCAAACCCAAGTCCTCAAGATGAATAGTCAGTGCTCTTAATTACTGAGCCAACTCTCCAGCCCTACCATGAACTTCTTAACAGTGAGAGCCTGTCACAGTCAACCATCAGGTCCTATGCCTGGCATTTATGGAAGATTAATGCTCCAAGATTTCCATTAAATTGTTGGGGATACCTTTGATTTATTGTTGAGTTGAATGCCTTTGATAAGGAACAGTGTACTTCTGTGTAGAGCAGAATTCTGCCTACATGATATGAGTGCAGGGGCCACACAGGAATGCTGTCAATGCACACATTTTTACACATTACCCAGGTCAGTGCTGCCATACATCATTCTTTTCTCTCCATTGTGTTTCATTCATCCATTCATGTATTTCTTCATATTTGTGTTAGACAAAGAATAGTGGTCCTTGAACAAGTCACTTTAGTATTTCAGAAATCACAGGCAAGGTAAATTTGACTCAGCCTTTAGGTCTTACCCTGTTTGCAACTCCCAGCTGAGTGTTAAGATCAACATCTTTTATGAAGTCAATGTGGACCACAGTTGATCCTTGGTTAGTGTTCTAGCTAGTGGTTAACTGTCAACTTGTCCCAGCCTGGAATCACAAGACATCCCAATTGAGTCATTGCCCTTATCAGATTAGTCTGCAGGCATATTTGTACATATTGTACATGACCATATTTATCATCAGTTTGATGCAGGAGAGCACAGCCTGCCATGACTGGCACCCTCTCTACGCAGGTGGGTCTGGGCTATCTAAGAAACCTAGCTACATATGAATCTATGAATGAGAAAGCCAGTAAGGAACATTCCTTATGGTTTCTGCTTCAAGTTCCTGCTGGAGCTCCTGTCCCAACTTCCCTCAATGACAGACTGACCTGGAAGTATAACTCAAACACATCACTTCCTCCATAAATCGCTTGTGATCATGGCATTAGTTACAGCAATAAACAGGAAACTGGAATCGTTAGTTTGGGTATCTATATCTTGAGACTCTCTTCCATAAAGACTGAGCCCATTGCCTATGTCTAGGACCCATTCCAGCAGAGAAGACTTTGAATAATTCAAGTATTGTATAATCATGTTATTTGTATCCCCTGACAGCAGAATTTACAATGCCTCGTTTAATGAGAAATTGAATGGAATATGTGTTTGAAAAATTAATCCATTTTAATAATATATGGCCCTGAGACTGGCCATCCCTGGCAGAGTTTAAACCTATAAACTAAGGGACCATGAATACCAATTACAGTAAAAAGTAATGAGATATGTATTATTTCCCTAAGAAAATTACTTTTAATAATATGCATTCTGACATCCTTGAGATTAATTGCACAATTATGCAGTTCCAAAGTGTAATGAGTAAAACTCTAAGCTGTGGTGAGGAAGAAGGGAGCACTCACATTTACTAAAAACCTCAAAAGCCTCACCCCTGAAGAAACACAATTACAAAGTTACTGAAGTTTAAAGAAGCTAGCTTCCCAATAAAAATATTGATCTATCTTCCGTTTAGCAAAACCCAGGGATTGGGTGTAATTTAACAGTTAGTAAAAGAATAATGGCTAGTACACTGTGAAACACACTGAGCTGAAACAGACTGAATATTGAAAAAAAAACAAAGAAAACACAAGGTTGTTCACCAAAGGGAGGCTGAATAAATAGATTTGAGAAGAAAACACGACTCTGAAAATGCTTTTCCATTGCCTTATAAAAGCGCTGCTCTCAGCAGGCAGACATTAGGGTGAATGAATTGAGAAAGAAATTACAGGTGAGAAATTAGCTTTGAGGTTTTTGCAGTTCGCCACTCAGGACCTACAGATCAAAAATTCTGGGCTAAAAGTTGTAGAAGGCACAGCTCCCTGAGTAACACAAGAGAGTTGTAGAGTTCCATGAATACCTAGCTGGTCCCTGTGTGGTCCCAAAAAACAATCAGGACACATCCAAAAAAAGAAGCTTTCCTACTACACTGGAGCCAATTTTAGTCCGGCAGCTCTGATGACCAGAAAGTTCCCTCTGTGTTAAGCAGAATAGAAGCATATTTGGTCCTTGTAAAGCAACGGTCCTGTGACCATTCTGGCAGGAATGAAGGTATTCTGAGACACTTGTATCCTCCTCATGGCTATCAGACTATCAGAACAACGGACCCCAAGAAATTTGTGTGTCCACAGGAAGCTTCCTGGGAGAATAAGGGGGAGGCTGAGGTCTTTGGACTAGCCAGAAGGGGTGCTTAACTCCTGGAAAAAGATTGCACGCCTTTCTGATCATTTGTCAGACAAAGTCATAGGAGAGCCTTGGGATGAGGATAGGTGGTACCATATCTTGACAGGCACAGCTTTCCTAGGCATACTTCTGGTCTTCTATTCAAAGCGAAACCTCAGGCTGGAGATGACTCGGGGGCCAAGAGCATTTACCGCTCTCGCAGAGGACCTGAGTTTGGTTCCCAGCACTCATAGGGAGCAGATGGGCTTGCAACCTCCTGTAACTCTAGCCACATAGGATGCAACACTCTCCTCAAAGGTAACTAGCTCATGAGCACCTCCCACCCACACCACACACACACACACACACACACACACACACACACACACACACACACACACACACAATCAAACATAAAAATAACTCTTAAAAATCTAATCGGCATGTTAGGGTTTTGGAGATAGACTTGTGGAGGAGATTCCACTGGATTTCTTTATCATTGAATAAAATTAATTTTTCTGCTTTTTTGCTATTACACGTGTAATTGGCTTATTGAGGCTGGCTGGCCAAACCTGTGAGCCCTGTGCAATTGTCTGAAGACATCTACTATGCCCCCATTTGTCACTTCTCACATCAAGACTTCTGTTCTTTCAGTGAAACAGCACAAACAGGTCATTTCAACACCAAGTTCTGATGGAATTCAAGCTGCTAAAAGGCAAACTATCTTATTCCTAGATTTTTTTGAGTTTATAATTATGTTTCTGCATAGTCCTGCTATAAATAGCTATTTTCGCCCCCCAACAATGGCTGAGAAATCCACACCATGACAGCCCCTGGATGGGCACTCCCGCCACAGCTGATTACCTAGTCTCTCTGTTCAGTCTGCTTGCCCATGAATGACAGGGTGGGGCCTTGATGTTGCTCTGATCCCCATGGCCCCCAGAAGACACTGTCCATCATCCACACTGTGGAAGGGAAGAAAGTGGGCAGCACACAGATTGAAGCTTACAGATTCACTGTAGCCTTGTGAACTTCACTGTTGACTTTTGTATTGGCTTGTCCCACTCTCACAGAAGTGTTGTTAACCATCCACTTGAAAGTCAGTTTATTAGATTTCTATAGGATTTCTTATATATCAATATATCTTTCTTGAGGAAATTTATTTTTTTAATTTCCAGGTTAGCTGGTATTTGCACGTAGGTTATTCTAATTGCTATGTATTATAGGCAGGAGGAGTCTGTGCCCAGGGAGGGGCCCACCTTTTGTGAAGGCTCAGATATTAATAGATGTTGGAAGTTTGTATCCGAGTATATATAATTTAGTGAGACTTTACAATTTGTATTTTCTGTAGACTTAACACTTCTTGTGTGACGCTTCCTCATTTTACAGGTTAGACTGCTATGTTTCAAAGCTTGAGAGAAAGGGCAGTGAATTCAATTTGGTATTTTTTATACTATTCCTGGGCCCTAACCTTTGGTGACTCTCTCTTGCCTGTCAGCTAGCAGGGCCAGGACATGGCTCAGGGTGACTTTTCTTGGAGCCCAGCACATGGTTTATAAGCCCTCCCTGGCAGATGTAGTTTTGCTAATGCAGCCAAATTATTTTCCAAAAAATAAAGAGATAACGAGTTCTGGTTACCACTTGTACCTCTTACCTTGTGTTCTGGGACCTGGGCAGCTGTGCCCTCACTACCTGTGGGGACAAGTTCTGAGGTTTGTCCCTAAGGGGAGAGGGATAACACCTGCTGAGAAATCCTTAGCTACTGGTGGTCCCTAGAGCAAAGTGCTGGACTCGGGCTCCAAGGGGACTTACTACTTTTGCTTTTCCTTTCCAGGTTGAGGGTGGAGCTGGGAGATCAGGTGGGCTTGAACTTGGAGAAGCTCTTTTCCTCCAGCTTGATTCTGGGCCGAACGATGTGGATACTCCTCATCTGAGTCCCGGCTCTAGCTGAGTAGCCCTGTAGTGATCTCATGTGGTTGGTCCAGCAGATTGTGCGGTGCTCTTGGACATTCCCATCAATGTTAGGAGAAATCAAGGAAATTTTTGATAAGGTATTAGGTACGTATCCTATCGCTAAAGTTCTTGTGCATCTGTACAAGTGGATCTATGAGAAAGTACTGTAAAAACAAAGCGACAGAAATGAAAGATTTTAATTCTGTAACTGGAAGTCGGTTTATCTGTAGTACTTTCTTTTTTTTTTTTCTTTTCTTTTTTTTTTAAGACAAGGTTTCTCGGTGCATAGTCCTGGCTATTGTGGAACTGACTCTATAGACCAAGCTGGCCTCGAACTCACAGAGATCCTCCTGAGTCTGCTTCCTGGGTGCTGGGATTAAAGGTGTGTACCACCACTGCCCAGTTTATCTGTGCACATTAATATCTGTAGAGAAAGGATTAATAATGTAATTTTGGAATCAAATCCTCTCCCGTATAAAGAGTCTTGGGGCATTTTTTTAAGAACAAAATGATAAAACAAAGAAACAAAAAAGCCCCACAACCTTAATAGCTTAGCTCCTGACTAAATTAATTGTGAATTTTTGTTAAACTTTCAGGTTTCTTTTGGGGATGAGCAGGGGTTTATTTGAGTTTCTTAATGGCTATGCATAGATCTTTGGGTGTAATGTACTGCACAAAAACAGCATTTGGAGAAAAAAACGGCCTTCTAAGTTTTGTACATGTGTTGTAATGTGCCATGGTCTCAACCTATTGGTCCTATTCTATCAATTCTCCTAGGTTTATCTTGGGATTCAAGGCACACACCACGCTCAGCCAGAAAAAGTGCTTTATGTGAATGGAATCATGTAGTAAGTCCACTTGCAGCTTACTTGATATTCATACATGACTGTTATGCATGTATTAATAGTTTAGTGGTGTTCATTTTTTTTTCTTTTTGAGGCAGGTCTCATATAGTCCAGGGTGGTCTTGAATGTGTTGTGTAGCTAAGAATGTCTTAGAACTCCTGCTGATGGCCTTGGTGTCATGTCTAGATGGTCTGTTAGAAATACACAGTTATGAACATTCATATGCAATGATTCTAAAAAACATAGAGTTTTACTTATTTTGTATAATTCTTAAGAGCAGAATGTTTGTATATATAGCAAATTTGTTTGTTTTTTTTTTTGAGTTTTGTTGATTGTTTGTTAGATTAAAAAAAAAATAGGACCAGGCATGGTAGTGCACATTTTTTTTTTGTGGTGATACATGCCTTTAATCCCAGCACTCAGGAGGCAGAGGCAGGTGGATCTCTGTGAGTTCGAGGTCAGCCTGGTCTACAGAGTGAGTTCCAGGATAGCCAGGGCTACACAGAGAGATCCTGTCTTTCTTTTTTTTCTATTTTTATTTATTTTTCTATTATCAGCTTGATACAGTATAAATTCTTATCCTAATAGTGCAGAATTTTAATCCCAGGTCTCAGAAGGCAGATTCAAGGCCAGCCTGCTCTACATAGTGAGTTCCGGGTCAACCATTGCTGCACAAAGAGACCCTGTCACAAGAATAACTAAAAAGAAGTATTTTTCTTTGTCAGTATGAAGTTCATTCTACTTTCTTGACATAAGGCCTGTGTTGGTCTGCTCTTCTAAGTTGTAGCTCTCATTTCTAGTCCTATCTATTGACTTTTCTCATGGCATTATTTTCCTGTAAGAGGTAATAGACTGTTTGTCACATGATACTGCCAACAAGTATGAATTTGGAGTTGGATTCTGTTTGAGTTTGGGTTTTGTATTCATTTTTAAAGTTTTGCTCCAGGTTCACTTGAGTTCTGAAAACACGTTGGTTCTTACCTTGCTCCTTGGTTTAGAAATAAGCATGCATCTAAGCTTTCAGTCTGAATTCCCTTTGGCCTCTTGTACTCTGATGTTGTAACCCTGGCTGGCCTAGAACTCTCTGTGGAGATCAGGCTGGCCTCAAACTCAGATTTGCCTGCCTCTGCTGCCCTCTGCTAAATGCTGGGACTAAAGGTATATGCCACCATTCCCAGGGGGCTTGACTTTTTATAAGTCACTCATTTCCTTATTATGTTTTCTTTTCTACTTTATTTATTTTGCCTGCATGTGTGGATATGTACATATGCATTCATGGTGTCTACAGAGATTAAAAGGAGGGGTCAGATCCGCTGGACCTGAAGTTATAGACAGTAGTGAGCTGCCATGTGGGTCCTCTGGAAAAGCAGCCAGAGCTCCTAACCGCTGAGCCATCTATCCAGCCCCCTATCAGGTTTTCATAGAACCTGATGATTTCAGAGCTTTGAGGTCATTGTTAATGTCTCCTGTCACTTACATTGGGAGGAGGAGGAGAGTGATATTCACAGTCAAGCCTGTTTCCATCTCATTCTAGCTTAACCTATAGTACATAGAAAACTTGGGGTTTTTTTTTTCTGAAAATGACACATTAGTGACTCATTGTTTTTGTTGGGTAGAAGGTTATGACCAAGTCTTTCTTTTTCCCTTGCAGGGAGAATTTATGAAAGTAACAAGAAAGCATCATTCCTGAAGAAGATTTGGGTTAACAGGAGTTCTGGATAGCCAGTAAGTGTATGTGGACTTCCTTGGTGGTGGTGATTTACCATAATCTGAAAGTGCAGTGGAGGAAGAAGGAGAAGATGAAAACGTACGTGTGCTTAGTGTCAAATGTTATCATACGGACTTAACATGTGACAGAGATTCTAGACACCATCTAGGAAGGATGAAAACATTAACCTTAGTATACCCTGTTCTGTGCACATCATTTTGCATCATCTTTTCAGTAATTCTTATTTAAAAAGTGTCTAGAGACTGAAATATACAAGTTAATTCATCTTACTGTAATAAATTTTTTACTATGTCTTTGAGACTTTACTATTCAGAAGGGTAACTTCTGAAGTGCCTTGGAGATTTTATTTTGGCACTTATAATAATGTTATATTTAGATGCGTGAAGATTTCTATAACTGATTAAATGATAAAATCTGGACTGTCCACAGGGACATGTACCACACTCAATAGCTTTAGAACAGAGAAGTACACCAGGAACACAGGACAGATTCTCAGAGGCACAATGCCAAGAAGGAACATGCCATGTCAATAACTCACCCTGGAATCTTCCTTGATGCTTTTTCGTATTCAGTGGCAGTTTCCATTATGAACTCACCTACATTGTAAACTCTTCACTTTTGCCTTGTCCCATGTCCGACTTTAGACAAGCAGTTTCTTCAAGCTAGACAGACAACAATCCTTCCATCAAGAATTCTTACCCCCAGGGTTAGCTTTGATTAAGAGCATCAGTCATTTGAAACAAATGTCTGCACAAATCACCCACAATACACAATGTACAATATTCTCTAAATTTCAGAACCACGACAAAACCCTCTAAGGCAAATCCACAAGTTGGTCATAAAAAGCACCAGGGAATGGCCCCTGAGATGGCTAGGTGGGTGGAAGGAGAGAACTTGCTCCTCCCAATTTGTTCCTTGGCCTCCACATGAACAGAATGACAGACTGGTATGGCATGCATGTATTGTATGTTCTCTATCTGTCTGTCTATCTTCTCCCTCTCTCTAAATAAGTAAATAAGTAGATAATCTTTTTTTAATGTACCCATAAGATTTCTATATATTCATCATATGAAAGCTTATCTTAAAATGACAGACTAAAGAAATAATTCATATTTAAAATAATGAAAAAAATCACCTTTGCTAGTAGATAATAGTTTTCACCATAGCCAAAAGGGAATCAGCCCCTTAACTTTAGGGATATGAAATTCTGAATCCTGCCCTCATAAATGTTGTGAATTTCTACTTTGTTTTAAAGGAACTGTCATTTCTATTTCTCAGGTCCAGCTGTTAGTTTGGTAAGAACCACTGACCTTGTGCCAGTGGTTCCAATCAACTGTGCCTATTGGAAGAAGATAGCACTGTAGTGTTAGCCTTGTGTTTGTATGCACAGCGTAACGATGTTGCCAATCTAACAAACTGAAAGATCACTCCAAGGAAAGGCTCAACACTGTGTTGGAAAGGGAGAGAGGAGGGGCAAATATACTGGGAAAAGTGGCAAGTTTTCATATCCTTTTCCTCCTCGTTGGTGTGTCTTCTATTTCTGGGGAAACAGAAGCAGTATTGTCTTACTGGGTAGGACAGTTTCCCAATGCTTACATCGCTCCTATCAAGCTTGATAGGCACACCTGCAAACCAAGCATGAGAGAGACAGTGGAGGGAGTTTCGTGAGCTGATGGAACTCTCCTTGCCAGGACCCCATTACTCCATTTTCTCAGCGCAAGAGATGATTATATACCCGTGCTCATTGATCAATTCCAAGACATGCTAAGCATGTGTCAGTTAACGGCGTCAGCTAAAAGAGACGTTTTCATTATAGTAATTTAACTACTTAGTAAGGAAGTAGCATTCCCTCTTCAAAACGCAATTTGTGTTTCCTTTATCCTCACAGGTCTAATTTTGAAGTTACCTATCTGGGATCATCCCCCTGATGAGTACTGCAATAATGATTCTTTTTATTGGAAGTTAATGTACAGGATTCAAAAAGAGAGAATAAATGATGCTTCTGTGAAGTTTCAGATGGCGAAGGACCCATTTGCTCTACCAGACCCAAATCATGGGTAGGCAAGGAGAAACTCTTCAAATGCTGCTTTCTAGCAACTTCTGCTCTTTTCCCTGTTGGGAGCATCTGTAGGGATAGTGACTAGGCAAGGACAATGGCATGTCATTCCTGCTAGTGTTATATTTCTGATTCTCATGAGACCTAATGGATCAGGAATTTTACGGGATTTATCACACAGACTTGACCATACCCTGTGTTATAGACCTCATCCTGGATTCTGAGACTCTTGGTCCAGGTCAATGCATTTGAACTCTTACAGTGTCCAAGGCTTTAAGCTCCCCTCCTCTGCTCCTCATAGACTTTTCTTCTTCTTTAGTCTTACCTGTTTTCTGGTCATCTCCTTCATTTCTTGATGGCAACCACCTTCTTCTGCCTTTGCTATTCTTGAAGGATTCAAGGGATTCTGCAGCTGAGGCATTCCCTCAACCCTGTACTGCCATTGGGAGTAAAACCCAGAGTGCTATCCTCGGTCATTTTATTTCTGATATCTGCTAGGGGCATTCAGTACACCAGGCACAAGGTAGGCCTCTTGGATTTATTTCCTATGTGGGGAACTGAGTGTTTGTTTTCCAAACACTGCACAGAAATATCTCATTCTTTCATCAAAATCAAAATATTCTTTCATCATATTGAGAAAGAAATACTACTAGGAAATTACATCATATGAATAGGAAGAAGAAAAGATCACTTGCCTCAAATACAGAAGCATGGAAACACACCCAGGAATCTGTAGGGCTGGCTACAATGTTGGATTTGGGTAACGGGGTACACTTAGAGAAGCTACATGCCTAGCTGTTGAAAACTGCCCCAGAGGTGCCTCAGCAGATAGACAATATACCCATGAGGATGCTGTAATGAACTGTTGGCAGAAGCAACTCGAATAGTGGAGCCACCAAAAGAAAAAGCCCTCAGGTTGAGTGTGGAGCTCTCCAATCTGCACTTAAGAGACCAAAGGAGGCTTGGGGATTTAGCTCAGTGGTAGAATGCTTGCCGAGCAAGCACAAGGCCCTGGGTTCGATCCTCAGCTCCAAAAAAAAAAAAAAAAAAAAAAAAAAGAGAGAGAGAGAGACCAAAGGAAAATAGATTGCATGCCTCTGTGAGTTACACATTAAGTGTTGAAAAAAGAAATGGCAGCAGGCAGCTGGGCGGTGGTGGCGCTCGCCTTTAATCCCAGCACTCGGGAGGCAGAGCCAGGTGGATCTCTGTGAGTTCAAGACCAGCCTGGTCTACAAAGTGTGTTCCAGGACAGGGCAGGGATAGAAGACATGGTCATATTTGAATTATTACATCCTCTTGACTGATCCTTTCTATTTGTATTATTTTCTGAAAGGTTTCTCTCTAATAGTGAGCAATAGGTCCAACAGAATAGGTTAAGAGGACTACCCTGAGGAGGTGAGGGGTTTCTTAGAAACATGCCCCTCTTCTTTGTCTTTAACCGAGGACTGACCACATTGTCAGCCCTCAGTCCCAAGGCCAGGCCCAACTGTGGTCTCTGCCAGTTGGAGAATTCCGCCAGTTGCTTTCCTTCTCTCTTCTATCCCCTGCTCTGCCCTTTTCATCCAGTATCAGGGTTGACTCTGCTCGCCGCAAAGTAGGTGACTGATCTCTTTGTTTCAGGGGCCACACTTTCTCCCTCTCCTCCTTCCTCACCCTACAACTCTGCTCTGGAAGAAGCAAGCCTCTCTGTGTGAGCTCTTAGCAGCCTGCGCCCGCTTGGGAAGTCTCTCACTTTCGGATTGTCAACGGGATTTATGGACAAGATGAGGATTTTGATCTCTAGGGCTGGCTCATGCCATCTTCTTTCCTTCCTTAGTCTCTGGTGAAATAGAATAACAAAAATACTTTGGGGAGCAGGCAGCACAGACCCCACTGATTCTTTGCCTTCCTTAGGAAATATGGTTTTAGCAGGATAAGGCTTCTAGCCCAGGACTTCAGCTCTGAGGCCAGTGAAAAGCTGGACTTCTCTCTTCCTCCCCTACAAACCCTCTTTTTCCCCATAGAATGAGGGTCTCCTGCCAGATCAATGTAAGTAGAGAAGTAGCTGATTTTTATTGAGTACAAGAGCTAATTGAACACTACTTGGGCTCCGGGGTTTTCATTCCCAAAATACAGGAGCCAAACACAGGCACATCCAACTTCCATTTCTTTTTGGGAGTTTGGCGCGGGAAGGAGCGGGAGGAGATGACGGAAGATGAAGGTGGCCAGTGGACTGGACCTGCAGAAGCCTGGGCAGCTGGGGCTTGGGGGAGGCCTGTTACTGGGTGACACCTTCGTTCTCTTTTGTCAGTTGAACCACCTTAACTGGTGGTGGGGGCAGGGAGGGGAATGGGCAGGGAGGCCACTGCCAGAGCCTCTCCTCCTGCCCAGCTAAGCATTAAGCCTTTAGGGGTGCTCAGTGCTTTCAGCTTTTTTGTTGAAACTCCCTCAGTCTGAAGGCAGGGCCAGGCGGAGGAAAGATAGCAAGGTCCTGTTCTGTGGGGCTCTGCACAGGAAGAGGAGGGGGCGAGAGACAGGAAGGAAGCAAACCGTCAAACTGAAAAGAAGAAAAAAAAAGGGGGGGCTTCCCCTACCTCCTTCCTTATGCTGTGGTAACAGAAGTTGGTCCACAGTGGCAATTTCGTGGGTTCACAGTTGTGAGCGCGGGGCTTGGAGCCGTGGTCCAGGCGGAAGACGAAATGGTGGGTCGAGGATCTCACCATCGCAACCCTAGCCTGGACCTTCCTCTTCCAAGCCAGAAAAGTCAGATGAGGTAAGGGGGAAGAAGTTTGGGGAGGTGGGGGAAAAAAACCAGTTTGGGGAGGGGAGGGAAGAGGAGAAAAGAGATTAGAAAAACTGCCAACCCAACTCTGAATGTTTACTAGCAACCTGAGCCTGGCCATCGGTCTTGATGCCCAGATCTGAGCACTCACTAAAGAGAGTTAGACCTTCAAGAGGCTCAGCTCTGACCTTGGCTCTGATGCTTGGGGACTTCATACTCCCCAGGCACAGGCAGAGTCTCATTTTGTCTGTGATGAGCACTGGTGACCCTAAGGCCACAGTGGGATTCAATTCGAGTTTTTCTCAGTGATTTAGGCTGCTTATGTTGGTTCATTTTGATTTCTTCAAGGATAACTATAAGCATCAAACAATTTGCATTTGACCTGAGGTCACCTGTTGAGTTAGCTGGGCAGGTTGGTCATCAATTCTGCCCTCTGCTGGTTTTCTTTATTATTCAGAATTAAAACATCAACCACAGCAAAGGAAAGTCAATTAGTGACACTGAAAAAAATGTCACCTGTCTAAAGAAGAACAGATATGCCATTTCGTCTCAGCTTGTCACATACACATGCAGACACAAGTATTCTAGTGAGACTTACTAAAAAGTACAGAACCTGAGACCTTCTGCAGTGAGTACCAGTATATGGGTTACCTGAATGCATTATCTGCCTGAAGATATTTATTTTTCTTTTCCACACTTTGATTTCCAGTCAATCAAATTTCTCTGCTTTTAGGTCATAATTTTCTATTTGCACTCCAACTACACATCTGAAGGGCAAATATCTCAGTGCCACATTATATGTGTTGTAAAATAATAACTTTTTTATTGTATAAAGTCAAGGAATATGACAAACAGTGAAGCATAGAGTCAGGTGTTATTTCTGATTAAATATTTTGAAAATAGTATGAACCATTAGATAGTTACATGGCAAGATCTGGGTATTTGTTTTGGTCAAGTTGGCAGGTACTTGTTACTTAGTGGAAAGCCACTTATTTATTAATTCAATAATGTCGGAATTCATTCTTTAAACCTACTAAATCAAAAAAAGAAGTAATAGTAAATGAATGCTTAAAAGGGAAACACTATCCTCCAATGTAGAGAAGAGCCCTGTGCACACAGATAAAGCACTGGAGAAGCCAGGAGAGTTAAACACACAGCTACCCCTTCAAAGGAATGAGGTGCGAAGCTGCTCTTCCTGGAATGCTAGGATGTCATTTTACAACCTGGTGATTCACTGTCTATAAGTAAGGCTCTGCCTTGTCTCTCAGAATTTGTTTTTACTTATCCCAGCCCTTTCCCCCTAAATCTTGAGCATCACTTTTAAACCACAAAACCCACTCTTATGAGGTCACTTGTGTATTACAACAGCCTCTCTACATTATCTTAGGGCCAGGCCGATCCCAACACCCACAGGCAATATGTTTACCTCAGTCAAACTCCCTAGACCCTAAATCTTGGGTGCTATTTCTGAGTCAACAGTACCCATTCTTGTGAAAGAAGCCAGATGTACTTTGTAAGGAATCTCAGTGTAAGCATGTCTTAAATTGTTGTGCACTTGCAACTGAGTTCATTGTTATCTGAATACTTTTTTTTCAAAATTGTGCTGTGCTTGAATATGGCTAAAGTAAAATGATCTGGGCCAGATTCTAGAAGACCTGGCCAGCATCGGTTACAATCAAATCAGGCTGAGCCAAGTTTCATTCTTATCTCTTTGTGGATCATTTGTTTTGTTTTGTTTTTTGTTTTTTCTCTCTGCCTACTGTAAAGCCTGTGGGGAAATCACCACACTTCATGCCCCAATCACCACTGAAGGTGAAAGTAAACTCCAGTTCTCAAGTCAGCATTTAGAATTGTAGTTAAAGGAACTGAGTGAAATTTAACATCCCTTTCTAAATGGAGGGATCTTATTCTAAGATCATCCTGACTAACGGATTTCCCAGAAGTGTGTGTGTGTATCCTTCAGTTGCTAAGCCTGAAGACGGAAGATTGGAACATTAAAGTTTTTTTTTTTTTTAATTTATTTTAATTTATTTTGCAATACAATTCAGTTCTACATATTGGTCACGGATTCCCTTGTTCTCCCCCCTCCCGTCCCCCTCACCTTCCCCCCAACGCCCCCCCCCCCATTTGTGTTGTTTCTTTTTTTTTTTTTCCCCTTTTCTATTTTAATAAAAAGGAAAAAAAAGAAAAAGGTTATAACTAACAAAAGAAAAACTATATACAAAAGTACAATGACTATATACAATATATACAAGTAATAAATGTCTAAACAATGTCTAGTCCATTTGTATTTGACAAATTCAGAGAAAATAATTTCATTATCTATCCTATTTTGTTAAGTCCAAAATGTATCTAATTCACTTTCTGTTTTTATTTTTGTTAGCTAATATTATTTCCTTCTTGGGTCTCTGAGGGAGTTGAAGATTAGTTAGTTATAGTTGAAGGTTAGTTAGTTATAGTTGAAGATTAATTAGGATAGAAAGGAACATTAAAGTTTTAACAGTATGGGTTCACAATGACATTAAAATAGAAACAACATGCACAATGAAGTTTTGAAGCGTTTTGGAAGTGAATGGATTAATGAAATTGATCTCACATTTTATTTTACATTGAAAATATAAAGTAACTTGAAAGTCTTCAACACACAATCTCTACTATGATTATACACATACACACACACATACACACACACATACACACACACATTATTTAGTGAGTATTCACTGACATCCACTTTTGTTTTATGTTTGATATATTTGCTATGTTTCAGGGATTTTTGTGCGTGCATAATTTAGGCCATAACTTACTTTAGACAAGACCTGGGGGTTATGTTTTTATGTGAAATTTACTGTGACTGAGCTATGCCGATGCTAAGACACATACTTTATTGTGTGAGTTTTAAACCACAGTCTCAGGAAGAGCTTACTATAACTGAATGTTATAACTGATAATTGAACTTAAGAAATTACAATAGCCTTCTGCATTTAGCTGTTAAGCCAAATGTGTCTTGTAGACTGCTGATGTTTTCTAAGTATAATTTTAATGGCTTGCACCAATGGGTAGCAAGTATTGCAAAGGTGCTGTTTTTAGTGACTGGATCAGCAGGCGAAAAGCACTGGCTCCCACAGTGTGTGTGAATTCAACCTGTGAGGGGCTCAGGTTTGTCTCTATAGTTATTTAATCAGAGTAAGTTAAAATATCGGGTATGCTCTTGCTGGTAAGTGAAGTATTTGATAGGATGACTAATCTTGTGTCTTTTAATAAAATGTAAGCACTCGTGAGTGAAACCTTTTTGTGTGACTTATATATCAAGGATTAGTTTGGGGGGTACATATGTATTTAGTTAACAAGGACTCCATCTGCTGCCTGCTTTGTGATCATAATGTGTAATTTACATCAGTTTGAAATAAGATTATTAAGTAGACAAATGAGAAATATATTTACAAAGATAATATGATTGCTTACTATTTAGTTTTTTTTAATTCCTTATTTTTCTGAACTTGTGACTAAAATAAAAGAGTAACATTGTTTAAATTAAGTTCTCCTTTAAGAAGAGCAAGATAACCACCACTTATTTTTGTATTGGGAGGGCTGAATTTATTTTTCTAAAATTCTTTTCTGAGGTAGATTTTACTTGTGTTAATTTCTTAAGGCTCTAGTGTTGGAATCTTAGATGGTCTTTTATTTAAAAAACCCGGTACTGGATATTAGGGTAAAAGGTGAAAGATCAGAGAAGCAGAGCAAGCCACAGTCACCACCTATTACCTCACCAACTCCATGAATCCTCTGACTGAAATCCTGAGTCTTCACCCAAAAGGGTATACCTTTCTCTGCCCTGTCACTTCCTGGGATTAAAGGCATGTGTGCTTCCCAGTACTGGAATTAAAGGCATGTGCCACCACTGGCTGGCTCTGTTCCCAGTGTGGCCTTGAATTCACAGAGATCCACACTGATCTCTGCCTCCCGAATGATAGGGTTAAGGGTGTGTGCCACCCCTGCCTGACTTCTATGTCTAATCTAGTGGCTGGCTCTATCCTCTGATCCTCAGGCAAGCTTTATTGGGATACATGATATATCACCACACTCTTTATCACTGTGTGTTTCAAAAACAGAAGTCAAGAGTATGTTTAACAGGATGCCTTATTTAAAGGAGTAAAAAGTACTCACAAAAAATTTCTCTCCTGAGAATTCTGGAGTTAGAATCTACAGTATGTGCTAATCACTCCTATTTTTTCATTTAAAAACAAAAACAAAAACAAAAAAACCTGAGGCACAAAACAATAACTTAGATGTTTAAAGTACTGAAATTTTAAAGACTGTGGAACTCAATGTTATAATGTTTATATTGTGATATCCAGATGTTAATATGACATTTGGGAGCCAGGCAGTGGTGGTGTATGCCTTTAATCCCACCACTCGGAAGGCAGAGGCAGGGGATCTCTGTGAGTTAGGCCAGCCTGGTCTACAGAGCGAGTTCCAGGACAGCCAAGTCTACATAGAGAAACCTTGTCTTGAAAAAACAAAAGGAGAAAGAAAAGCAAGCAAACAAACAAACAAAAAGTCAGATTTGGGGAATGAAGGAGAAAGGGGAGAGTATCATTTATGGTTTAATGGAAGATATTTGTGTGTCAAATCGACATGGGGACAGTTCTGCTGTTTTTTATTTGTTTGTCAACCTTATACACACTTAGGCATGTTATGGAAGAGGTAATTTTAACTGGGGAAATGCCTCCATTGGATTAGCCTGTGGGCAGTATGGAGGACATTTCTTTTTATTGATGACTGATGCTGGAGGGCCCAGATAACTGAAGTGCTGCCAATCCTAGGCTGCTGGTCCTTCGATTTTAAAAATGCAGGCTGAACAGGACATCAGGAGCACTCCAGTAAGCAGCCTTCCTTCATGGTCTCTGCTTCGCTTCCTGCCTCCTGATTTCTGCCTTTGAGTGCCCGCCTCCATTTCCCTTCCTGCTGGACTGCAGCAGTCAGCCGAAATAACACCTTTAATTTCCGAGTAGTTTTTGGCCATAGTGTTTGATAACAATAGAAATCTAATAAGACAAACAGGAAGATGCAGAGATTGCTTTATGATTTGTACTTGCTCATGAGGTTAATACTCAAATGCATGAGTACTGTAAAAGAAATGGGATTTACAGAGTGTCAAATCAACTATAAGCCAAACTTATTCTAACTTTTACAGATCGTGTATGAATGATATTTTATACTTTTTAAAGTTTGAATGAAATCATGTAATTTTATATGACTGAGCTGGACAGAGGAAATATGTATAAAATATGCTCTTGGACTGATTGATTTCCTTTGGGACATGATGTTACATGAACATCACTGTCCTATAGAGAAGTGGTTAATTATATCCAATTGCTTTAAGGAAAGGATCAAAGAGTTTTTTGAGAATAATGTGGAGAAACAATATGAGCTTCTTTCAACAGCCATTTAAAAGTGAAATATTATTTAGCCTGAATGTTGCAATGTTTATCAGCTTTTATTAATTTGGAATTTGTGGTGTATTGTATTGCTCACTTGTAATCATTATTTGTAGATATTATATTTAAGGAATTGAATTCAAATTGTGTAAGGGGAAAAAGAAGCCAAATGTAATTTGGGGAATTGAAGTTTCTAGTTACTGAGGAAATCACAGGCAGGAAGATAGCTCAGCCAGTCCAGATGTTACCTCGGCCACCACCATCCCCCAGTAGTTGGTTCTGTAGAACATTATGACTCTTAATGGTACTGGATGAGGAGGTCATTCACTTTTCACCGCTAAATGAAACATGTCATATTGACACAAACATCCTCAGATTATGGTTTCCCCTCAATTCAGGTAACATGGGCTATCTCCCCACCCACCCCCGCCTCAATTCAATGAAAGAAACATTACCAAACCAAGAAAAGTCAACTACGAGCCTCATCTCCACTCTGCACAGTGAATTGCTTATGTTAATTGTTTTCCCGACCTTGAAAGGTGCTAATGGTTGGACTCAGGGACAGTCTAGCCCCTTTATCATTCTTAACATATTTGTTGTATTGAATCCTATGTCATTTAAGATTTACACCAGTGCTAAGCATTTGATAAGATTTATCTGTCATATGAGATCAAACCAACAATATTGTTGCACAAACGTAGCACGGTTTGTAGATACTAGCACAGGGCTTCATCCTCCAGAAACTTTGATGGATGTGAAAATTAATCCTTGTTTCTAAGTGATCTTTCCAAAAGTAATATTATCAATAAAACTTATAAATAAATAAATATAAAATAAATCTTACGTGGCTCATCGACCAGGGGAAAGGGAGGTGAAAAATGTGTCAGGAAATATTCTGGGATATTCCTTCAGTAGGAGTATATCTGTTATATATGAATATACTTATACACGCATCTATGATGTGTGTGTTTATATGTCTATATGTGTACCTGTTTATGAACACACACATACGCACATATAGTTCAATTAAAGAACAGTTTGAAGTACATCCCCCATCCTGTAATAACATGACATTTTTCAATGCTGCTGTGATGTTATTTACATCCTGCCATTCATTTGGTGACTATTTAAATTTTTCCTTTCCCTGTAGGACCTTCCTCCTGAGGAGGAGAAGATGGACTCTTGAATTCTTGATCGTTACCCTGAGGACAGGACTTTTCATTGTGACAGCCACAGTGGTTATCGTTGGCAGCCATCTTTTCATCAGATTCAGCAAAAATTATTTAGGGACTCTGAAGCTTTCTCCATGTTATTATAACTCTTTGGACTATTTCCATAAAAACAGTGGCATCTTCTAATCTTACTGTAAATGACGATTTGGGGTGTTAAATGCTTCTCTTATATTGTAACCATAGAGTATCTTTCCTTACCTGTAAGTCCTCCATTGTGAGGAGGAACAGTTGGACTCATGGGCACTGCATCACTGTCCAGGGGGCATGTCCTCTCCCTGGGACAGCTGTTGTCTTCATGGTCTTTGTCCTTCAACTCATTGAAGTCAGTTAAATTGTTTAGAGACCCTGAGACCTCTCTATGGGGGCAAGGCATTGAGCTCTCACCCTGAAGCAAAGTCATGTCTTCTCCAAATATTTTCTGACAGTTTTCAATGAGAAATTTTACAAGAGAAAACTATGGGAAAAAAATGGGGCAAAACAGAGGATCTCGGTCATTTCACAGAGTTGTTAATCACATTTTATATATGAGTCATGGAGGTTAAAAATGTGTAACTCAAAATTCTGAGAAAGAGTCAGCAGTTACAAAATATAGGAGCTGGCTTATCATTTGAAATTTAAAGCCTATTGTGAGGTCAGATGTTGAAATGTGATCAACACAGAACAATACATACTATGTAAGAGAATGATTTTCAGGGTTGTAAGTATTATGGCTAATTTATATTGTCTGCCTGACTATCTTTGGTTCCGTTTATCACACACATGGCTGACCTTGTTTGTAAGGACACTTATAGAAATACACAATAAGGTGGGGACACTCTTTCTGAATGTGGGCACCGGTGAACAAAAAGGGACAGATGGGCAAAGCCAACTGAGCAGTAACAGCATTCATCTGTCTCTGATGGCTCAGGGCAGTTGCAATATTAACCGCTTAATCCTCAGGTTCATTACATTGGGAGGTATCTGAAGTAAGGGCTAGTGGGAGAGAATTGGATAAATGTGGGTCTCAATTGAAGGAGGCTCAGCCTTATCTTCTTTTCTCTATTGGATTCCTTGCTGCATAGGGAAAATATTTGGGGAGTCAGGTGTACCTATAATGTACTCTTTAGAGGCCCAAATGCAATGAGCCAATCAATAATCATTCAGAAACTCAAAGTCTGGGTGTCTAAATAATCATTTGAGTTTTATACTGAATACTTGTAATTTATTTGAAAGGCACCCACCCTAGACAGCAGCAAGAGACTTATATAAAATCATATTAACTAAAACTCAGACCAAGACTCAGAACAACCGTGTCTGATTTTAAAAAAAAAATCCATATTGGCCTTGTTTATATGGGGCAGTCATTTTGAAAACAAGTAAACACGCACACAGCCCTCAGTGATGACACCACACCATGAGTCAGTCTTGCTTGCTGAGCCCAGCACTGATGTTGTTTCCTGTCATCTTACAGTCCTTGCTGTCTGAATCAGTCAAACAATATGGACAAACTGACTGAGTGTTGTGCTCAAAAACCCACTGAGAAGACTCTCAGGTTGTCCTGTATTCCCATCTCACTGTGAGGACTTGACTCCCCCAGGCATACAGACCACGTCTCATTACCTTTTGGGAGCTCTCATTTGCTAATCCAGGATTGTAGGACGTAGGCAGACGTAGGATGCCAGGAGCCATGCAAACAGATAAACCACAAGCTGTCATCCTGTTAGCTGCAGAATGTCTTACAATGTTGTGTAACACTCTGAAAAATAGTCTAAAGAGAAGGACGCTGAGGTTAGGCAGCTGCTCCAAAGGACTGAACACAGAGACAAATTATTTTAAAACAAGAAATTGTATTCAGGAAGTCATAAATATGAAGAAGGGAACAGAGTAACTGGATCTTATTCATGGTCCTCTGAGAATACAATGAAATGAGGGATGTGTCCTAGAATACTGTCTGAAATGTTTCTGCAAAGTCAGTAAAATAAGACAATATCTACTGGTGCATAATTGAATATAAACCTACCTCCATTCTTGACCTTTTCCTGCTTTGAATATAAAATTGTGGGATTTAGAGTAATTCAAGTATTTATGTAGCTGCTCTGAAGCACCAGCCTGCCTCCATTTGGGGCTTAAAAGCCATCTTCTAGTAAAGACAATTGGCTTATTCCTGTTTATGATTAAACCTCTGTTTTTCAAGGATTGGGCTGTGTCCCACCTGTGACCTTAACTATGCTTCTGTTCTGCATGTTCCAGGAATGGGAATCATGTCTTTGGTTTTTATAACCATTTTACAACCCTACCTTTGTTGAAAAAGGTTCTACAACTACCTTGTTACCTTGTAACCATGCCTTTCTTCCAGGAGAGACTAACTTGTTAGGCTTACATTCTGCTCCTATAACCCTGCCTATTTTGATTGCCAAATCCCCCATTTGTAAATCCCCTGTCTCTGATCTCTAAAGTCTAACGGTCTTGTCTTTCTCATATCCAATGCTGACCTTTGGAACCCTGCCTTAGAAAAAGCAACCCATGCACACTAATAAAAACTCTTGCTTTAATTAATTTGGCCATGCTGGGCGGCGGTGGCGCATGCCTTTAATCCCAGCACTTGGGAGTTGGAGGCCAGCCTGGTCTACTGAGTGAGTTCCAGGACAGGCTCCAAAACTACACATAGAAACCCTGTCTCGGGAAAAAAAAAAAAAAAAGACGAAGAAGAAGAAAAATTAATTTGATCATATTGATTGAGGTCTGTGGTCTTTCACTTCTGGTCTTTGGGATAAACAGCTCTCTGTGTACAGGACACGTTGACTAGATAACTCATGGCATGGCTGCATGTGTTTCCTTAAACATATTGAGTTAACACAGATAAACATCTTTTTGTTATTTGTAACTTAGATACTTTGGATCTTAACAGGAATTCCCTGATATTTTCCTCTCCCCATTCTTAACCATTTGTTAACATTTCACAGAATTCCAGTTTCAAAATGTTGAGTGACAATAGCAGTGTTTGTGCTCATGTGAACCCAGATACAAACTACACACACTCCTTGCTTCTAGAAGGAGGCTAGGGGGATGTGATGGGAGCTTTATGGGCAGAACTGATATTTCTGAATTTTTTTGACCCTGCTAGAGTTAAATATTCCAGTGAAGTTTGCCTAACACAGTGTCAAACTGTCTTGATTGTGCTCACTTGAAAAGTCCGGTTTCCTAAGTGGGTAGCTAAGCTGTTTCATCTATCTTCTGGGTTGGGAGGATCCCCACAGAATTTAGCAAGTTGCAGTACTACTTCCTGGTCTGCAGCTCTAAGGCAAAATAAAGCTTTTAATCCCCAAGTTGTTTTTGGTCATGGTGTTTTAATCACAATAGAAAAAAAACCTAGTAAGACAAGCATGAAGTAGCAGAGATTGTTCTGTGATTTGAATTGGCCTATGCTGTTTAATACTCAAATGCATGAGTATTATAAAAGAAATTAGAATTTTTAAGTGTTGTCAAGATAATCTATAGAAACTTCCAACTTTTTCTAACATATGAAAGATATGTGATCGGTACTTTAAGAAATTTGATTAGAATGTCATAATTTTAATGACTCTGAGATGCATAGATGAAATTTTCACAAAATGTGCTAAGCAAAGGCTGAATCCTCTGGGATGTGATGATGTTACATGAACATTACTGTCTTGTGGAGAAGTGACCAATTATACCCCCTACCACCATTGTTTTATGGAGAAGGCCAAAGTGAATTTAGTCAATAATATGGAAACAAGACAAGTTTTTCCGCTCTTTCTTTTCTTTCCTTTTTTCTTTCTTTCTCTTTATTTCTCTCTTTCTTTCTTTTTCTTTCTTTCTTTCTTTCTTTCTTCCTTTTCCTTCTCTTCTTCTTCCTTTCTTTCTTTTTATTTTTGAGACAGGGTTTCTCTGTATAGCCCTGGCTATCCTGGAACTCACTCTGTAGACCAGGCTGGCCTTGAACTTACATATCTGCTTGCCTCTGCCCTCCCAAGTGCTGGGATTAATGGTAATGGCATGTGACACCACCATCCTGCTACAAGACCAGTTTCTTTAAACAGCCATTTAAAAGTGTTGCATTATTTTTCCTGAATATTGCAATATGTATTCTTATCAGCCTTTATAAATTTGGAATTTGAGGTGGATTGTATTACTTATCCTTAAGAAAAATTCACCTTTAAAGATTGTATTTAAAGAATTTACTGCTTCAGATTGTGTAAGGGGAAATATGATGTGTAGATGCACTTGTGAAAATAGTTTGCTTTATTATTTTACATTTAATATATGTACTTGTAACAAATACTTCTTGATTTGAGCTTTTATAAGTTTAATTATGCCCATGCCTACAGGATCCTCTGTTTCTATTTCTGTAAAGCACCCAGAGTCCAGAATTCTTCAGAATCTTTTAGGATTTTTTTTTCTGTAATACAGGCGTGCAGAGCACACCAAATTTGAATATTCCTTTGCATTGTTGGTCTTGTTGTGTTGACCCATTTGAAATAATTAAATTATTTGCCCAAATTTGTGTCTTGTCAATTCTTTGGACTGTTTTCGATGCACTCAAAAATTGCCTAAAGCTGAAGATGATGTGTTTGTTAGTGATTTTATGTTCAGTTCTTGTTAACACGAACCAATAAGAACCTCCCATAAAATGAAGGTCTAGTTATTTAATTATTCATTCATTCATTCATTCAATTTGGTTTCTCAAGATGGAGTTTCTCTATTTAGCCTTGGCTGTCCTGGAACTCTCTCTGTAGATAAGGCTGGCCTTGAACTCAGAGAGATTACCTGCCTTTGCCTCCCACGTGCTGGGATTAAAGGCATGTACCACCACTGCCCAGCCCATAAAGGTCTTTTTTTCTTATCTCCTGTAGTTGGTCATATATTGCATCTCATAGATATCTCCTAAATTAACTTCCGATTGGACCTTGGCATAGTAATCTTTGACAAATTGGCTATTAAGTAACACTGACCACTCGAGCTGCTGAAAACTATTCTTTTACTGTGCGAAGAAGCTTGGACATACTTGCTGTAGACTGAGAACAAATCATGAGCCAGTTCAAGTGACAGACAGGTTAGTGACCCCCAGTTGAGCTCCTGTGACTGCACATCTATGAGTTGCACAGCTAAGACCAGATCAAATGCCCAGCTGAGCATCCTACAAAGAACTATGTCAGTCATGAACAAAACATGACTGTCTAGACATCAAATTATGGAATATGACTACAATAAAGAAGATGTGTAATATAAGCAAATACATTTAGGTCATATTATACTGAATTGGTTCATATAAGAGAAAGCAAGCATGGAGGCCCCAAAGTCAGAGAAAACAACCCTTTTAAGTTTGTGTTATCATTTGGGAAGTCAGGAAATGCTGCTGTTCTGGAGGAGGTATGTCACAGGGGGAAAGTTTTGAGAATTTACAGCCACACATCATCTCCAGTTCCTACTCTTTGCTTCACGCTGCAGGTTAAGGATGTGAGTTCTTAGCCTCCTGCTTTAGCTGCCATGTCTGACACTTGTTCCCGTGCCACTTTCATGATGGACCTGTAGTCCTCTGGAACCAGGAGATAAATTATATCAATACATTATATAAATACAACAGAATAGAAAGTAATACAAATCTATAAAGTTTTACACCTGAATTAGTTGTTTCCTGTAACCGAAGAGAACCATGAAATCTAAAAAGGTTACATTATCGTTTAAATTCACACTGTAAGTGAGACAGTTCTGGAGGGAAAGTTACCCTGGCTGTCAGAAATCAGGCTTATCTACAGCTGTGAAAGGTCTCCTGGATACCTCCAGCTGTGAGGAGAAAGAAATCCTGAGTTGGAGGAAGTCAGGATATACCTGAAGCTGTGTTCCCATGCCACAGGTTGTGGCAATCCTCCTGTCTCTGAGAGAGAACCATTACAGCTCTGCCCCCTCCACTCTGTCTGTTACCACTTTGCAATATTCTTCTAATACTTTCCCAGCAGAGGTGTGCATTGCTTCTCTGCTCAGTTCCATTAGGGAGTTTCCCAGCAGAGATGATGGTTTCTTCTCAGCTCTGGCCCAAATTGTTACCTCTGTGCTTCACACAACTAAGGGGAAACCTTTTGCAGAAATGGAGCAGCTCCCAAAACCTTACTTTTGCTCTGCTCCCCTTTGGGAGTTTCCTTGCAGAGGGTTCTACTGCTTCACTGCCAGGCTCCACTAGGGAGTTTCCCCGTAGAGACTATGCTCCGTGATGGCGAAAGAAGGTCTTCACACAAAACTCATTCAAGATATTCATTGGGGAGGGGAGAATCCAGGAGAGTGGTGGGAAAGGGCAGCTACAAACTGAACATGCATATGGCTATAGGGATTCTTAGGGGTGGAGTTTTTCCACTGAAAAGATTTTCAGGGTGGGAATTGGTCTTATTTCAACTCTGAGCTCGGACAATCTTAGAGATTGGCTGGATTTCCTGCTCAAGGATTGGTTGGTTTCATGCTACTCATGTTTTTCTCTGGCTCTGGTTTCAGCATCAGGATCTGTTTCTTTGGCTGGCCCTTTTATCCTACAAATAGGGCTTCATAAATTCACAAATTTATTTTTTCCATGAGTTTGCAGGTGCAGACAATATTAAAGTTGACATCATAAAACTGGAAGAGATTGTTGACACTGTCAGTTTTTTTTCTACAGAATACTGCCATAAGTGTGTTGACTAAACATCTAAACAGATACTTTATATTAAAAAGCCATCAAGCCAGACGAGGGTGGCACTCGCCTTTAATCCCTTTAATCCCTCGGGAGGCAGAACAAGGCGGATCTCTGTGATTTGCAGGCCAGCCTGGTCTACAGAGTAAGATCCATCCAGGACAGGCACCAAAACTACACGGAGAAACTCTGTCTTGAAAAACCAAAAAAAAAAAAAAAAGGAACCATTAGTATTTTTTTTCAGGTCCCCAAATACTATTGTACTATGCAAAGGCTTTAATGAATTGATTGCACACAAAAGGTTTATTTCTGTGTAAAATGCAAACTTTACAACACTGACTATATTTATCGGGTTTCTTTGCAGTATGGTTTTTTCAAATGTTTTCGAAGACTACTAGAATAGACAAAGACTTTACCACACTGATTACATTCATAGGGTTTCTCTCCAGTGTGTGTTCTTCTATGTGCTTGCAGACTACTCTTTGTAGTGAAGGCTTTACCACACTGATTACATTCATAGGGTTTCTTTCCAGTATGTGTTCTTCTATGTTTTTGGAGCTTACACTGTTTAGAGAAGGCTTTACCACACTGATTACATTCATAGGGTTTCTCTCCACTATGGGTTCTTCTATGTGCTTGGAGACTACTGTGTACAGAGAAGGCTTTACCACATTGATTACATTCATAGGGTTTCTCTCCAGTATGGGTTCTTTTATGAATTTGGAGAGAACTGTGTTGTGTAAAGGCTTTACCACATTGCTTACATTCATAAGGTTTCTCTCCAGTGTGTGTTCTTCTATGTACATAGAGACTACTATGGGATGCAAAGGCTTTACCACATTGATTACATTCATAGGGTTTCTCTCCAGTATGTGTTCTTTTATGAATTTGAAGACCACCCTGTTGTACAAAGGCTTTACCACATTGATTACATTCATAGGGTTTCTCTCCAGTATGTGTTCTTCTATGTGCTTGGAGACTACTCTGTCTAGAGAATGCTTTACCACATTGATTACATTCATAGGGTTTCTCTCCAGTATGTTTTCTTTTATGTGTCTGAAGATTACACTGTTGTATAAAGGTTTTACCACATTGATTACATTCATAGGGTTTCTCTCCAGTATGTGTTCTTCTATGTGCCTGGAGACTACTATGCAATGCAAAGGCTTTACCACATTGCTTACATTCATAAGGTGTCTCTCCAGTGTGTGACTTTTTATGCAATTGGAAATTATTGGGAAATGCAAAGGTTTTACCACACTGATTACATTCATAGGGTTTCTCTCCGGTATGTGTTCTTTTATGAATTTGAAGATAACTCTTTTGTGTAAAGGCTTTACCACACAGATTACATTCATAGGGTTTCTCTCCAGTATGGGTTCTTCTATGTAATTGGAGACTTTTCTGTGTAGAGAATGCTTTACCACATTGATTACATTCATAGGGTTTCTCTCCAGTATGTGTTCTTTTATGCATTTGAAGATACACTTTTTGTCCAAAGGCTTTACCACATTGATTACATTCATAGGGTTTCTCTCCAGTATGTGTTTTTTTATGTTTTTGAAGAATACACTTTTGTCCAAAGGCTTTACCACATTCATTACATTCATAGGGTTTCTCTCCAGTATGTGTTCTTTCATGCATTTGAAGATAGGCCTGTTGTCCAAAAGCTTTACCACATTGATTACATTCATAGGGTTTCTCCTCAGTATGTGTTCTTTTATGTTTTTGAAGATGACGCTTTTGTCCAAAGGCTTTACCACACTGATTACATTCATAGGGTTTCTCTCCAGTATGTGTTCTTTTATGCATTTGAAGAGAACCCTGCTGTGTAAAGGCTTTACCACACAGATTACATTCATAGGGTTTCTCTCCAGTATGTGTTCTTTTATGCATTTGAAGAGAACCCTGTTGTCTAAAGGCTTTACCACACTGATTACATTCATAGGGTTTCTCTCCAGTATGCGTTCTTTTATGCATTTTAAGATACTCTTTTTGTCCAAAGGCTTTATCACATTGATTACATTCATAGGGTTTCTCTCCAGTATGTGTTCTTTTATGTCTTTGAAGATGACGCTTTTGTCCAAAAGCTTTACAACATTCATTACATTCATAGGGTTTCTCTCCAGTATGTGTTCTTTCATGTATTCGCAGATTTCTGTGAGATGTAAAGGCTTTTCCACACTGATTACATTCATAGGGTTTCTCTCCAGTATGTGTTCTTCCATGCCTTTGAAGATGACTGTCATATGCAAAGACTTTACTATATTGAGTAGATACAGAAGGTTCCTCTCCAATATGGCTTCTTTCATGCCTGCAAGGAGAATCAGCACATGTAAAAGCTTTACCACATTCAATACACTATTGAATCTTTACATCTGTATTAACTGATTTTGCAGTTTGCTTCAACTACAAAGAGGAATCACATATTAAAGTTTTATCACAGTGTTTGCACTCATGTGTTCCCCTTCATGAAGGGATGTTTGAAGTATCTTTGAAGATACCTATGATGGTAAGATCTTTTCTTACAAGGTTCACATTTACAGAATCTTTTCTCTATATGAATTTTGTTTATTTATTTCAAGAAAACTGAAAAACCTCAGAGCTTTACAATGATTGTTGCTTCACAAATTTTTCTATAATTGTTTGGTTGGGTTTTTTTTTTTTTGGTTTTTCGAGACAGGGTTTCTCTGGGTAGCTTTGCGCCTTTCCTGGAACTCACTTGGTAGCCCAGGCTGGCCTTGAACTCACAGAGATCCGCCTGCCTCTGCCTCCCGAGTGCTGGGATTAAAGGCGTGCGCCACCACCGCCCGGCCATATAATTGTGAGTCAAACTACATTTGCTAAGTGAAATAGGACACAGAGAAGTATTTGTACAGTCCTAGTACTCATAGAGCTTTTCTGCAGTGTGAGTTTGCTGATGTATTAACAATGAACCTAGAACTTATATACCTAAATCAAATTCAACAAGTATACTTAACATGTGCAGTCCTACATATCTTCTAATTGTTCTGAGAAGTATGTTACATCTTTCCTTATCCCTATGCACATATGTCTTGTATACAGAGTGACATATGATATACCTAGTAAAGAAAGAATAACAAATACAAAGGTTTCCACATTGTAATTACACAGTTCGACTTTCTGTTCCTCATAGACGTGTGATATAAGAATTAAGGTTTCTCCACCACAACTGCCCCATCACTAAACTTAGTAGTCACAACAAGTATATGCGTAAAGATTCCTTTACCATGGCCTATAAGGTTATTAGGGGGTTGGCAATATACTTATGACCTCTTCAATGTGTATATCTATTTTAATATGAGTAGTATGAAATAAATGGATTGGCAGTCCCTCATGGTACTAGGATTCAAATGGTGGTATCTGTTAAGGCATTGTTTCCTTGTCTTCCAAGTGAAATTCACCTACCTAAAATTGAGGTATATGGTTTTATGAGGAGTTAATAATCATCAATGCACTTTAAGCTGTGCTTATATACACTGTTACTTTCATTTAAAAATTTCAGGACACATTACAGTTTCTTCAGAGGCATATTTGTATCAGCTTGCACATGAAAATTACCTTTTATGTCTTGTAGAACTTTGATGGTGTTTTTCAATATTATGGTCTTCCCAACTGTATCCTAAAATATAGTACCAGAAAATGTATGGTATATTATTGAAAATTGGACAAAATTTAACTTAATATCTTCAGTGAACCTTAGAACCATGCCTGAATTATTCACTTCATTCTTCTTCTTTCTCAATAAAACTATAGAAGAGCATCAATAACCAAGGAACAGTTCTCCCCTTATTTTAAACGTGAAGGAAAATTCAGTCTTACCTATAGTAGTGAGGTTACTGTAGGTCTCCAGCATCACATCTTTGTAGAGAGTCTTCTGAGATGGATCCAGCAAAGTCCACTCTTCCCAAGTGAAGTCAACATGCACATCATCATAGGTCACTGTATTCTAAAATATCCCATACATGTGTACAACAGAAAGCATGATATGGACAACATTGTAAATGTATACATCTTTGACAGTATAGTCATATAATTCTGGTGCTCCCCACACTTATTTCATGACATAGACATTATAATGGAATTTCCAAGTCACTTTAGATGGCATATCACCTTGCAAGAGAAATGTGTATTAACAAACATAGAGAGGCAAGTAAACAGATCAACAGTACAGAGTACACATGAGAGAAATTGTGTGAACAATTACTAACTACATAAAAGAAAAATAAGATGGACAAGCTGAGTGTATTGGCTCATTCATGCCTTTAACCCCAGCACTCAAAGGGCAGAGGCAGGTATATTTGCCTCTGACTTAAATGCCAGCCTAGTCTATGCAATCGGTTCCAGGACAGGCAGAAATACATGTTAAGATACTCACTCCCATGCTAAAATCAGTCAACCAAACAAAAAAGATAGAATTGCCAGGTGGTGGTAACACATGCCTTTAATCCCAGCACTCGTGAGGCAGAGGCAAGTGGATTTCTGTTGAACTCAGGCCATCCTGGTCTATAGAGGGAGTTCCAGAATAGCCAGGGCTGTCTCACAGAGAAACCCTGAGTCAAAAAAAGAACCCAAAAGTAAGAAGAACTCAGAAGTTTTTACTAAGTTTCTACAAAGTGTTATGCATTCACTTCAGTTCTGTACTCATCTTCCAGAAACCTGAAGTTTCCAAATTTAAACTCTAACATCAATAAAATTTTACTGAAAGATGTTGCATGTTTAAACAGTTACAATTGGACATATAAAAACATTAGCAATATAAATTTTGACCATAAATAATCAACACAGGCTCAGTAGTAAAGAGCTCTTGCTGGTCTTGCACATAGGTGGGCTCAATTGCCAGTACTTGCATGGGAGAATCAAAACTATCTATTACTCCAAATTCAGGGTTTCTCAGACCAGCTTTTGATCACTATGAGAACCAGATACCCACATGGTGCATAGCTGTGTATACAGGTAAAACACTTGTATTCATTTAAAAAATTCAAAACAAATACAACACAAGGAAGAAAGTCCTGTACCTACAATCTAATGACTAAGAAAGCTCAGGCAGTATTAATGTCATAAATATATGCCATCTTGGGAAACAGAATGATACCCTCTGCCAAGTTTAAATTCAACATATGGGTGAACTTCAGTACAACAGCGTATGTTTGACATGTACAAAAACCAATATTCCAGGCCCATCACCCAATAATATAAAAACAAAAAAAGCTAGTAATGTTGATCCACTTTTAATCTCAGCACTTGGGAGCAATGCTGATCCACTTTTAATCTCAGCACTTGGGGGCCATAGTCAGGGGGATCTCTGAGTTCAAGGCCAGCCTGTTGATCAGAACTACTTTCAGGACAGCCAGGGCTAGACAGACAAACCTTGTCTTCAAAACAAACAAAGGAACAACAACAACAAAAAAAAGAAAACATATTAAAACAGCAGTCTACCAAACTGACTCAACACTGAATAGCAATGGCTTCTACTGTATCTTATGTAATTTAGGGGTAGAGACTATTATGGTGGTGAAGGCATGACAGCACAAGAAGGAAGCAGGCTGATTAGATTCAATCACAACAGTAGATACAAAGAACAGTCAATGGGTTGAGGCTATCCCATCCCCAATGAGAATTCCATCCAGAAAGGCTCTTCCTACTAAAGGTGTCACAAGCAATCAAAAGAAAATCACCAAGGAGATACACATGTTCAAATATATCATCCTATCTGGGAAGTTTTCATTCAATCAACTACAATGTGACCCACTCACATTAGACTGGGTCTAATGTCACTATAGACTCACAGTCATCCATGAAGAAAAGGCATTTAGTCACTTCAATGATCCTCATAGTCTGTGACAGACCTGAGTTGTTGTTCTATGTTGAAAGTCTCTTCTGACACGCAAGACAAACTCTTGACAGTGACACATAAAATCAGAAAGCAAGTCATATCTTCCCAACATACAATGGCACATTCACATTCCAAAAAAGAAATGGAGACATACTGAGGGAAGATTGGCCCAAGACAAGAATGAAGCACAGGAGGACAAACATCAAATCCTGTAGTTCTGTCTCAGATGCATGGAACTTCAGTTTCAAAGGGCTTGGATGGCCCTATCCCTGCAACTTTTCATACATCTCTCTCTTTAGTTAACTTCCATTCACTATATTCAGCTAGGTCTCCATGGAAGATGTCTCATAGCTTAGGTATCTCAACATCTTGTGGTCTCAAAATGAAACCCAGGCTATCGTGGAATATTATGCTAAGATGTGTTATATTTGCTTATATTGTGAAACATTTGTTTTAATGATGCAACGATGTGTTGCATTATTTATGTTGCGTTTGTTTAACTCTGTGAATTTGCCATACTTTGCCTGTCTAAAAGCCCAAACTGGTTGAATAAAGAGCTGAATGGCCTGTAGCTTGGCAGGAAAGAATAGGCTGGGCTGGCAAGCAGAGAGAATAAATGGGAAGAGAAATCTGGAGGAAAAAAGAAGGAGGAACAAGAAAAGAAGAGGACACCAAGTGCCAGCCACCCAGCTACTCAGCAAGCCAGGCAGTAAGAGGTAAAGAAAAGTATACAGACTAGAGAAAGCCCAGAGGCAAAAGATAAATGGGATAATGTAAGTTAAGCAACACTGGCTAGAAACAAGCCAAGCTAAGACAGGGTATTTATAAAAAAGAATAAGCCTCCATCTGGGTAATTTATTTAAGAGCTAGGTGGCAGGCCCACAAAAGAGTGAAAAAACAAAACAAAAAACAAAAAACCAACACCAGGTTCATCCTCACAGCTTCATGCAATGACCTCTCACAGTCTCTTAACTAGGTTTCTAACTCTGCTAAACATCGATGCCTGCAACAATGCTGAACTGTAACCTGGAACAGTAAGACTAAGAATCCATGACCTTAATTTTTTATTCTTTCTTGTTTCCAGGACCAGCACATGATAAGTGATTCTGCAAAATTTGACTTCTTTATTGGGATGGACACTAACACACTTGGACCACAGGTGCAGCAGGTTTTGTATGAAGTTGCTTCCTGAGACTAGAAATCACTTTGCTTACTCCTTCCATAATTAAAGGTTTAGCTGGATGTGGTCTTATCCTTACGGTACCTTACTAGGATTCCATTACAGAGCAAGGGCCTTCTCTATAAAGGTGATAAACTCCTTGAAAATTCCTGACTGTTTCAGCACTTGACTGCTATCTGAAACTACCATTTCATTTTCATTTCTTTCTTTTTTTTTTTCAGAGCTAAGGACCGAACCCAGGACCATGCGCTTGCTAGGCAAGTGCTCTAACACTGAGTGAAATCACCAACCCCCATTTTCATTTATTTCTGCCCAATTCCTTGGTTGTTGTTTTTTTGTTTTTTGTTTTTTGTTTTTTTTGTTTGTTTTTTTTTTTTTGGTTTTTCGAGACAGGGTTTCTCTGTGTAGCTTTGCGCCTTTCCTGGAACTCACTTGGTAGTCCAGGCTGGCCTCGAACTCACAGAGATCCGCCTGGCTCTGCCTCCTGAGTGCTGGGATTAAAGGCGTGCGCCACCACCGCCCGGCTTGTTTTTTTTTTTAACTGTAGGTCTGAATGAGTCACCAGTAATAACCAACCAACCAAGATTCAATGTTCCATTTAAGAAATTATCTCATTATTTTTCAATTCAGTCATACTTAATTTCTAGGGCATAGGCAGAATAAGAAAGATATTGGAGCCAAAATATCACACCAATGACGTCTACCTTAATTTTTCATTGAGTCTATTTCTGACTGAAATCCTGTGATCTCAACCTCCACTTTCTGCCATTACTCTCAACATTCCCATCTTCCTGGACCTACAAGAACAGTCAATTAAGTTCTGTGTACAATTTTCTGACTTTTGCTACCTAAAGTCCTGATATCTTCCACATTTCTCCAAAAGAAAACATCCCAGGTTCTACCTAGCAACAACATCGAGTTTCCTGTTCCATTTTTTATTCTAACATGCTTGTATGCTGCTGGGATTATATCCTCTAACAAAAAGTATCTCAGGCAATAAATGGGTTTATTTGGCTGATTCTGTCAGATCACACACCACCATTTTGGTAGCCTAGGATAGAAACTCAAGCTAACAATTGTAGGCAAAACCCATGGGCAAAGACTGTTTCCTGGCTTTTTCTCTTGCCCAGTTACTGTCTCATGATCAGATAGCTCCCTTTTCAGCCTAGGCCCACTTTCTTGGGGATAATTCCACACTCAGTGGAGGAGCCTTCCCACATCAATCATTAATCAGCACAGACTCTCACAGGCACAGCAGTTTCTGGCTATTATGAATAATGCCACTATGGAAATAGTTGAGCAAGTGTCCTTGTGGTAGGATGGAGGAGCATCATTTAGGTACATGCCCAAGAGGGCTATAGCTAACTAGGTCTTGAGGGAGATTGACTCCCAATTTTCTGAGGATTGCATATTGATTTCCACACCTGCAACAGCAATAAAACCCCTTGCTCCATGTCCTTGCCAGCATTAGCTGTCACTTGTGTTATTGGACTTAACCATTCTCACAGGTATAAAGTGGAATCCCAAAGTAGGTTTGATATGCATTTTCCTGATGGCAAAGGATGTTGAACATTTCTACAAGTGTTTCTCAGCCACTTTAGATTCTTCTACTGAGAATTTTATTTAGAGGTGTACCCCAATTTAATTTGACTATTTAGTTTGTTGTTGTCTAGATTCTTGAGTTCTTTATTATCCTGAGTGAGGCAACCCAGAAGCACATAGACAAACATGGTACATACCCACTTATAAGTGGATATTAGTAGTTAAGTGAAGTACAATCACAGTAATCACAGTTAATCACAGTACATACAATCCAAAGATGCTGAGAGGCCTAGTAACAAGAACGGCAATAGGGGTGATGCATGGCTCTTCCTGGGAAGAGGAAATAGAATAGATGTTATAGGTGCACCAGAGGCAGCTGGGGATGGGA